GTTTTTATTGCATTCTTCAATTTGGACATTCGTGTGTCGTTAATTTCATTGTCGTTATCCGGTCGATAGATCGTAAATTCGTTTAAAGATTTCGCGGTAAGTTTGTCAGTTTCAATTAATTTAACATCTTCGTCTACACTAAGGACGCGTATCCAAGCTTCTGGCTTGTATACAATGGTTGTAGGTATGACGATTGTTTCACGAATTTCTTGCGCTTCGACGACGCAAGGAAATGTCTGGCTTTTTATATGAAAAAGCTTAAAACTTTCGGAACGTGCTGGTATAGCAGACACGCCCTGTAAAACTTCAGAATCTATATCTAACTTAATTGGTTCAGAATTCCTTGGTCGAATTGTGAACGAATTATTTCCGTAATCTATAAGGCATTTAAAGCGTTCTAAAAAGTCTTTTCCAATTATTCCAAATGCGGGAATTTGAAAATGACTCGGTACTACATGGAACTTATGAGATAGTGTTTGATTTTGTTCATCAATGCTTAATGTAAATGAACCTAGAGATAAAATAGGATGGCGGGTGATCCCAGTCATTTTTATTATGTCGTTATGATCGTAGTCTATATTTTTATGAATGGCATTTATTTTAATTAATGATACCGAAGCTTCCGTATCGATAAGGAAGATCGATTTTTGATTTGAAATATTTGTTTGGATTTTGACGAAGTTTGAGGGATTATTGTTAATTTGTAGAACCCTGTGGGATTCTAGTTCGGTATTCATGCTTGATTCGTTGGTTGTCCGCCGTTCCCCGGATTCACTTCGTTTCCCGACACCAAATGTATGGTGTGTTCGTTTCGACGATTGTTGTTGTAGTTGTTGTTGTTTCTGTTACCGCCGTTGTTGTTACGGTTGTTGTTGTTGTTATTGTAACGTCCGCCGTTGCGGTTGCCGTTACCGTTGTTATTGTTGTTGCGATTGTTATTGTTATAGTTGTTGTTATTATTGCGATTATTACGATGATTGTTTTGGTTGTTGCCGTTGTTGTTGCGATGGTTATTGTATCGACCACCGTTTCGATTGTTGTTGTGGTTAAGATTGTTGTTTTTCTTTTGGAAAGATGTACCGCCTCTGTCCGATTTTAGGTTGCTGATTTCAACAATCATTTTGGAAATAACTTCTTTCGGCGTTTCAAATTTCGACGCGGCAATCACTGCTTTTACAGTGTCATTGCGTGCGTTTTTTCGGCATAATTCAACCGTTTTTTCGATTGACAATTCCTTGGCCTTGGCTTTTGAGAAGCCCTCGATTTGTAGGCTACGCCTAAAATCTTCAGCCAATTCCTCAGCTCGTTCTGAGAATTTTGTCATGTTCATCTTGTCAGTGCGAAGCGCTAACATGCGTCCTTCGATCACTTTTGAAGAATCAACTTTGATGTTTTCTTTTAAATCGGCGATTATGTCGTCGACATAATCTGGATCGTCTTCGACTGCTTCTCGAGCAGCACCCTCGAGACGAGTCATGACAAATTTCGTGAATACGTCTTTGTCGTCGTTCTCTACCATTTCTTTCAATAATTGCACACCATCAACAAATGCATTTAGTTGAAGTGGGTCGCCGTCGTATTTGCCCAGCATTGATGCGGCTAGGCGCAAAAATTCTTTGCGTGACATTGCCATATTTTGTATTTGATTTGCTTCCTCGTTATTCATTCGTTGTTGTTGCTCGTTTGGCGGCTGCTCACCAGCGCTATTGTCTAGTGGTTGCCTATTATTATCGCCGTTTAGTGGCAGCTGATCTGCATCAGCCGTCAATGGCTGTAATGGTGGTTCGTTATCGTTATTATCTAATTGTTGACTACCTGTCGCTTGGTTCGTTTTTTCGTCTGTCTCGTTAGATGTGGTTGGTTCAAAAAACTCGTCGTCGTCTTGGTCAGTTTGTAAATTTAATTCTACACTAACCAAACTTTCTGTATCACTTTGATCTACAGTACTGCTAGTGCTAGCTTGAACCTGTAAGTTATTCGTGTTACTCTCGCTACTTTCATTTGACGAATTCGGTATTTCTTCCACCACGATTTTGTTAATATCGATTTGAGCAAACAGACTATCTTCGAATTCGTATTTAATATAAAGTGTATCAAATGCCTTTCTTAGTTTAGTCAAGCCCCTTGCTTGCTGTTCTCGATAACTTAATCTATTTTTTTCTACTTTCGTTTTTGTTTCTGCCCTTTTTAGATATTTCGTTACTTCGTTATATGTTTCGGTGATTGATAATCTTAATTCTTCTCTTAGCTCTTCGTTTTTAATCAAAGGGAATCTATTGTATATGTCTATGCGTTTGAATTCTCTTATGAATTTACTGTTGATTTCCTTAAATTCTTCTGCTTTGAAGCTCATAGTAAATTAAAATTCAAAATATTTGGGAAATGTCGTCCGTATGCGAACGGTGCAGTGCGACTGCTTCTTCTTCTTAACTAACACATCTATACATATAAGTCGCCATATTGGTTATAATGTTCACAAATGGCACGCAATACACTGTATACATTTTCAATATGGTCGCGCCCATTGTGTACGACAGTGTGAAGAAGAAGAAGCAGTATTATAAGAAACTGTGTATGGGTTTACATAGGGATGGGAAATGTAGTTCTTATGATAAAAATTACGAATAAAATATATTGTATTTGTAATAGACGAAAATCAAAAGTAAAAATGTTAAAGATGAAATTTAAAAAAAAAAATGATTTAGAATTATTAAAACGTATGTATTGGTAAAATGATAAATGTTATGAAATAGTAGTTATAAGAAGAAATTTAATTGATAAAGTAACGATTGTTAAAATGCTTAGTAGTTGGTAAAAAAAAAATCGAATTTCTTAAAAATTATTGGATATTTGAATCTTGGTAACTGGTGAAATATTGAATTCTAATTTCGCATTGATTCTCGACTTAGAATAGTTTTTTTTTTTTTTTTAAAGAAAATCAACTTAAATTTTGCTTAGCTTTGTTGAATCCCCTCTGTTCGTTTTGATTGTGGTTTTCTTCTGGGTTGTATGCTTATTCGTCCTCCTCGATTATTACAACTGCGCCTCCAGCGTTGTTGTTTGCTTCAGCATTGTTATTATTTCTTGTGAATCGCACGGTCGGTTCGTCATTAAGTTTTCTGCATTTTTTGACGATGTATTTTGTGGTAAAAATGCACACGGCTGCGAGTATTGTTATGGCGATAACTAGTGTGATTATTAGTAAAATTATCTCAACTGCACTGGTCTGTTTTATATCGGTCGCCATAATCTTAATGTCATTTTTCATTTCACTGGTAGATTTTTCATTTGAATTATTTGAATTAAAAAGATAGTTCGATATGCTGCTTCCGATGAACGCGCCCAAAGTCACTACTCCAGCTATGGTCGCTATGATTTCGGCCATTATATATGTCTTTAAATTATTTGGAAAATTATTTGGGAAATGTTTGTATGAACTCGCAACTCTATTTTGAAAATAGTTTTTTTTTTTGTATGAATTTCCACTATTGCTCTTCGTCAGAAGTGAGTTGGTAGGATGACTCGCTGTCGGTATTGTAGTTTGTGTACTCATCCGACGAGGATGTACCGCGTTCTTCTCTCATTACTTCTCTAAAATTGTTAACATATTCTCTTTCTAATGCTGTGCGTAATTTTCTGTAGAATTCCAATAATATTTCACATGTTTCATGTTCACTTTCTGGTGTTGTTTCATCTTCGAGTTTATTCATGAGCTCACGTATTTTAGCTGTCACATCACCCAGCCAAATGTTCAATTTTCCCGCATGTTCCATTTTATTTTAATTAAAATGAAATCACAACATAAAAAAAAATATTTAATTCGAAGAATATTGTTAACTCAAAACAAAAACTTGTTCAACTATCGAATAGTTCAAATTTTACGATGTCAAAAACTAATTCATGTCACACGATGTTAGCGTTAGCGCACAATGTCTTTCATTCAATTTTCATTTGTTCATGATTCTCGCAACTGGAATGTACTTATGTTTCAGTTTTTTTTTCAGATTTATTGTCCACAGAAAAATAGCGATGTAAGAAAAAATCATGAAAATTCCCGAGAAAATATTCACGTTAGAAGTTTGAAAAATTCACGTTGAAAGGTTTGTGATTTGTGTCTTTGCTAAAAACTTGACTTTAACTGCGCCATCTGTTGTTTCGGTACAACAGTGTACGCTTGTGTGCATTGACTGCCTTTTCGATATATTCGTCCACGTTTTCGATATTTTCGTTAGAAATTTCGCTTCTGATTTTTTTGAAATTTTTTTTCACTTTGCTAGAACTCGCGATATTTTTTAGTTAATGTTCGCTTATTTTGTTGATGATCTTCGATTTCAGAAGTTGTCTGTATTCACTTTGGGTCATGTGAATCGTATTAACAGTTATAACTGCATTGGCACTTTCCATTTTTCATTTACCGGCTAACATTGTACTTAGGGTTTTTTTCATTCTAACTGTGACGTCGACTTAGGATTTCATTCAATTTCATTTATTCGCAATGATATTAATTTAGCATGCTTATAAGCGACAAAGTCGCACTCGAAATGCACAAATTCACACTGTAATTCGCTTACGCGGAGTTTTTTCTTCCTTCTCTGTTTACACTTTTGTCACGTTTCTCTCAACTTTTTTTTTCCACTCTTTTTTTTCTCGAGTTTCTTGTTCACTGTGTGTGTCTTGAGTGCGGATTTTGACTATTTTCTTGTAAAAATCGACGTTTTAATCACTTTCTGATGATTATTTCACTATTTTTCTACTGAAAATTGTTTGCAATCACTTTGGTCCTTTAATGACCGGCTCGCCATATAAGATATAATTGAACTATATATATTGAAATACTTATCACTTGTTCATGCGGCAGGTCCGCTGTAAAGGAATGTAATGAATCGTGCGACTGAAGCGTATGAGTTCTGATACAAGACTAATTTATTCTTTACTTCGTATTCTTTACTTCGCACGATCATGCAACGATCGTACCGTTACAACTGGGTAATCAAGTCAATATGCGAGATAACAACGGACCGAGGGTGGAAAAGCTGCGTGGGAGAGAAAATTTTGATATTTGGAAGGTGGGAGCAAAATCATATTTAACGATCAAGGGGTTATGGAGCGTAATTGAAAAAGAGACCCCAGCAACTGAGAGTCCAGAGACAAATGCAAAAACCATTGGTGAACTCACACTGATGATAGAAGCATCACTGTATAGCTACTTGGAAGAAAGCCCGGATGCATATATTGTATGGAAGGGATTGGTCAAAGCATTCGAGGATAGTGGAGTTGCTCGTAAGGTGACCATCTCAAATCTTTTGGTCTCAGTTAAACTGGTAAAGAATAAATCTATGGAGCAATACATAAATACGATCTTGCTGTACTGGCAGAAATCGAAAGCTGCAGGATTCCGCATCGATGAAGACGTTGTGGCATCTCTACTTTTGGGTGGGCTCCCAGATGAATTTCGTCCAATGATCTTAGGGATAGAGAACAGCGGCCAAGAGTTAACAATCGACTATGTGAAGCAAATACTCTTACAGGGTATTCCAGACCCCTTAGATACAAATGAAAAGAAAGATGCAGCTATGTACACATTCAGCGAAATTGAGAACAGAAGAAAGGGATATAAGGGAAAGAGAAGCTGCTTTAAATGTGGTGACATCCTACATCTACGTATAGACTGTCCAAAAGCAGACTTGAAGTGTAGTAAGTGCGGGGATTTCAATCACCTGGTTGAAAACTGTATCACAAGAAAAGTAGTTACGATGAAGAATGCGTCAAACAATGGTGAAGAACCTCTAGAGTTTTGAGTTTAAGGAATAGTAAAAAAGAATTGGTAGAGTGAAATTGTACTTGATCTTTACATTTAAGATAGATATGAAAGAAAGATAAAGATTGGCTGAACTTCTGGATTTGGTTTACACAATCGTCAATGAACCATCTTCGGGAAAATCACCAAATTGAAAAAGATTTGTAATTTGAACTTTGAAAAATGGATATGAGAATAAATGAACTGGTACCAGGGTTAAGTTGATTTGAGAAATGCAAATGCAGTGATGTGAAACGTTTATGGTTCAAATATTTTTGGTTTTGTTTGATTTAGTAAAATCATTGATTGATTTGTATTGATAAGGAAAAATGTAAATGGTTATTCATAGCTATACAAATCAGGGAGGGTGTTGAAAATTAATAAGCATATTGAATTGATTTGTAGAGCTTGAATAATTAACATGCATAGCTAATCGTAAAAGTTCGATTATTGATAAGGAAATGCACATATGACCATATTTAGACATATATTCGTAGTTTGTATATTCCAGAAAAGTGTATATAAACTCAAACAATAAATAAAGAGTTAGTTATTTCTATTCATAACACAACAAAGACCGTTCCATAATTTGGCTATGAAATCTACTATCCGGGGAACAAGTCAAAGACTCTAATTTACCCAGAACGAGTACATAAACCGTTATAATTATTTCCCAATCAAGCCCGACTATCTCAATCTTCAGAGCCAATCCTTATCCCGAAGTTACGGATCTAATTTGCCGACTTCCCTTACCTACATTATTCTATCGACTAGAGACTCTTCACCTTGGAGACAACTCTCGGAGAACGGGTATGAAGCACACCAAAAATCGAAGAAATTTTTTTTCTTGTTTTTGCCTGTCTTTCGACCGCTACAAGGCAACCTTATATGAAACTCTCGGAGAACGGGTATGAAGCACACCAAAAATCGAAGAAATTTTTTTTCTTGTTTTTGCCTGTCTTTCGACCGCTACAAGGCAACCTTATATGAAACTCTCGGAGAACGGGTATGAAGCACACCAAAAATCGAAGAATTTTTTTTTCTTGTTTTTGCCTGTCTTTCGACCGCTACAAGGCAACCTTATATGAAAC